ACCTAGCATGAATCGAGCTGTCACGTTTAATTTTCGAAATTCTATGCACCTGAACTACCCACAGTTTGTGGGCAAATCAACCCTAGTCCACTGAAATTCCGCATTTTATCGGCGATTCTATTTTCCATTCTCCGGTCTTTCTCCGACTGTTTCATTTAAATGTGCGGCCAAATGACAGCAATTACAACGGATGCACGAAAGTGCACGGTTAATGGTTGCACAAATTGAAGCTGAAAGCGCATGGGCAAAGCCGCATAGACAGTACACGTGGACCAAACCAGTAACAGGAAGCTGAAGCTGAAGCTAGGCATCAGTATTGGTTCCAAATCGAATTCAACTAGGTGTATTCTTCGCACGGAATGACGTTACCCGGCAGCCAGTTTTGCAAAACAGAGAGCATCAGATCCGAACATATCCAAATAGATGGGCGTTCATAAGTCGGAAAGAAATTACTCACTCGGAAAGAATGTGGAACAAAGCAGTCAATCGTAACACAGTGTCACGTGGAGAGACCGGAGAAGTTGTCCAATCCAGAAGACGTTGTAAGAACCGTACAATACTGTCCAATGGTAGCACTGCAATCAAAGCGCCAACAGAGGTGTGCAAATCTGCAAGCAACGGAACCGGGTCGGACAAGTGCGGGAGGACATATTCACATGTTTCCAACAGAGATACTAGGACGTTGTAAAGCTGATCCGGTTGAGTGACACCATACTGAATCAGCTCGTGTCGCAATTGAGCACAGCTCAATGCGCCTGGTTTCGCGCTCTCTGCAGCAGCGCAGATCGACTCGGCGAATTCCCGGGCAAACATCAGACAACCGTGAATCAGGGTCTAGATGGAAGGAGAAGCACATGGATTAATAGGAACTACTGAACCAATCCTGGACGAAAATCGACTTAACTATGGGAATCGTACAGTACTTACTAGATCTGTATTGGTCTGAGCGAATTGAGCGATACGTATCACACAAGACAGAGTGGAATGCACCTCCGCCAAATGGGGGAGAAGAATCCTGATTTACGAGCCGAAACGGGAGATGGGGAATGTGAGAACAAAAATTGCAGTGAGTTGCGTGTTACATTTGCGGTTCGGATTAATCAAATTCACTGAGTGCACATTACTGGACCCCTGAAAGTCGTGTGAGCGTATCACTGATAGAGAAATGAAATCAGGATGGAAAACAAAAACGAACTAATTGCATGACATGGAATCGAACGCAGCAAATTTCCTTAGACTAAGTAACTTTGGAGAACAGTTGTATTATTTTTGCGCGGACACACTCCCATAGTGGACAACCCAGTATTCGGAATTTTATCAGCAACCTCAGTTGATACACTAGAGTAATGGCGGATTTGCTTCAATTTCAAAGCGGAAATTCGTCGTGCATACGGCAAATGAACTGTGAACTGAAAAGCTAGGAAGCACTGTACAGCTGTTTCGGCCCGGCTGGGTCTTATCAGCCGTGCGCGAATCCATCGAAGCAACTGGGGATCGAACCTCGGACCTCAAAGTCAGAATGCGAGCATGCTACCCACTCGGTCACCGAGAAGCTGATCAGACCGTTTTTCATATTCAATTTAGACGATATAACACAACCCATATTTGAGAGCTTGTTGCGGGCATCACGCCTCGCTTATCTCAGTACTAACGTCTTTCGTAGGTAGATAATTCCGTTCAAGGTTGTTGAGGGTAAACATAAACGTAAACTACAACGAAAATAAGGCGTGAGCGGAGCAAATCGGGTTTACAGATAAGAACAATGAAGAGAAAGGAATTGCTGGTGACAAGAATGGAAATGCTTTTTTCGTTCTTTCTTTTTACCGTACACCTCTGAAGTGCCGAAACAAGTAAAAATCCCGTCCGGGTTTCCCGATAGTGATAGAAAGCACTGCTGACTCAGTAAGGTGCTAGTCTTCCATGAAACAATTGGTTACCTCGAGGCCCAAACCAGTCGCTGCGCGAAGTTGTTAGCAGGTGGACAAAAACGTACGAGTATAACTGGGTTCTTTGGAACCCGTGCTGTGTAAGTTCAGGCAGACCGAGCAGACAAGAGTATGTTGTTCGTACAAATAGAACAGCTGTCTGAATCTCAAGGTGTCAGTGCAAAACAACTCTGCAGTAGTGTAAAGCCCGCGTGAATGTGTAAACGCTGGAGGTACAGAATCGAACAAAAAAGTCGAGTGGCGTTGGAGATGTCACTTTTACCGAATTCCGAAGCAGCTTCATGTACTCGCAAACAGGTATTCTCACGGAGCCGATCTGTTCTCTCGCAAAAAATAGCCAGAATAAAGCCAAATTATTCAAGCAAACAAGAGCAGAGCTGAGAAAAAAACGGAATCCACGGGGAAGGGGGTTGTGGTCTGCTGGTATCAACAAAACTGGGAGTAATCTGATCCTGGCGAACGACTTGTTTTAAACACGGAGGACAAAACTACATAACTGAGGTCACACGAATTCCATACGTAAACAAAATAACAGAGTGAGTTATTTTGGATCCAAGGACACTGTGTGTAGTTGGGTCCAAGATACAGTGAAATCGTATGGGGGTCGGTTTTTAGGTTAGATTACTTTTCGCTCGGATACTGAATATATCTGCCTAGTAAGGAACTCTGAGCCAAAAGAGACCAGATCGGAACGAACACCAAACGGCAGTACAATGTCTTTTTGAAACGATAAAAACCCCCAAAGGAATCCACTCACCGCATTCGTTTGTTCAGCTCTTGTACCTGGCGCAGGGTCGAGCTTGAACGCTCCGGATTGGCGCCGGTGGCTGAGGCCAAATCAATCTGACTAAGCCGGAAAATGAACTGGGGCAACTGGTAAGAGGAGGTTAAACTGCCCGGAGCAACCGTGGATTGGTCCGATTGGTCCAGATCGAGCCAGGAGATGCGTGCACCGGATGACGAGATGACGGAGGAAGGAAGTGTGGTCGAGTTGGATTGCACAAGACCATGCACGACCGCTAGTTCCATCAAATTGCACAACAGAGTAAGACCAGCCTGAGGAGAGCAACAAGATGAACAACTCTCAAAGGACCTCGCCAAAGAGCATTGATGATATGACAGAAAGCAAATAACCCTTACTTTATTGAAAAAGTTCAACATATCATCACCAAACTTTGAAGACTTTCTGCCCATAACCGTAAATCTCGCCAGGTTCCAAATTCGCACGCATCAGTGTTTTATTTCATTGCTCACCTGTGTTGTCGTTCCTAATCCCTTGTAGAGAGACGTTCAGCTGCTTTGATAAGGACTGACTACTATCGGTAGCCGTATCTCTTCAAAGTTGACAATCAATCGGTGTGAATATCGTTTGAATGTATGGATTGCACGCATCCACCGCACCCGGACTTGATCTCCATCATTTCCATTCGTCTGCCAGACTCAAATCGAGCTGTTTTCCCTCACACAACCATACATCGTAACCCCTGTAGCAAGCATTCCAATTCACAGAGAACAAGTTTTTCCATACTTTCATAAAGTTTCAGAACTGAACTATTTTTGTGTACTGCATATACGTTCGACCGGAATGTAGGCAACGTGCTTACAAAAGTTCCGATGGCCTAGGTGATCGGGATGAGGAAGTTGACCCATGACTTTTGCACCCAAAAGCGCTTGGCTCGGTCGTTTCAATGGTCACGGATGGATCCAAATTAATTGAATCCACCTTTCAATCACTCTGAAGTCGTAAGCTAGGTAAACCAATAAAATGACAAAAGTCGGTTGACTGCAACAAACTATAACTATCATCATCGTACACCGAGATACAGTGATCGCTGCCAAGCTCACAATGTACACAAATCAAGTGATAAAGCACAAGATGGAGGGATTGGGCCTACTTAGAGGGAGGCAAAGAAAAAGGACCTCAATGGACAACACACGGAGCACACAATCATGTGTTTATGCATACCTTTTTTCCAGCATTCTGCCTTGTTAAGAAATGACAACTTTAACCCCGGACTGTCTAACTGTTTAGTTTTCTAGCGTTACCGATATCACCTGTGAATAGATTGAGAATCGATCACGGAAAACCAATCGTTACGTCCGACGGTTGGTCGTCCTACATGTCTGATATTTAGCTTTCAGACATCAAATCTGATTACCGGAACAATCTGATCGTAATGGTTACCGACTCGATTAGGAGTTGGAGTGTGTACTGGGCACTAAGGGCGTGTGAGATACTCCCTCCGGGTATTTGACCCGACTGATTGAACACCGACCCTGCAGTCTTTTACACACCACGCAATGTCTAACGAGTTAGGTTTGGGCTAGCTCCGTGTGTGTGAATCCAACAGGAGAATTCAGTTCAATAGGCCCGCGAAGTCGGACAGTATTCCACCCACGAGCGAATAATAGCTTCATTTCTTCATACAATTTACTATCAAGGAAGTCGTGCAAATACCGGCCACGAGAAGATAAGGAGCAACACTAACCTGTAAGTGCTGGTCTCGCGAGTGTACGGATCCGGACACTAAGGCAGCCATCTGGATGTTTGACAATGAGGCCAGTGTGAGACTGGGCATGGTATCCAGTTGACAGCTGGTAATCACATGGTCTAAAGCAAATCGAACCAGATACCGCAGGCGTTGTGTGGTTGCGCTCGCCTCCGGACACATGGATTGCCATGGCAGTCGTTGCAAGCACTCCACGAAAAACAGGCAAACCAGCGATCGGGCCTCGGCGAATCCGGACCCACGAATTTCGGAAAGCCGTAAATCCAGAGCCTTGTGCTCCGTGCTTGGCGGAAGCACAGGCCACCAGGCCGTTGGATGAGAAATAAGAATATCCATAGTCTGTACGGGTGAAAGCGGACTCCGTTAGGGCATGAATATACGGTAAAATGAAAATTTTCAATTCCTGAAGAGTATTCCACAGCGACAAAAAGGTAGCACAACTACGAGCAAGTAACCGAGTTGAAATGCACATTTCTATCTAATGTAGCACTATTATGCAGTGGATAGAACAAAAGCTTGCATAAAACTCTGAAGGACATGATTCAATGAAAATCTCATAAAGGCATCAGACTGCACAATGCAAATGGGTAGTGCAGTTAACGGTTAGCTACTCGGTTTCACAAACCACCAACGAAGTGCTTTAGCATCATCAAATTCGCTTTAGTCCAGCGGTGAATTTGACAAACGATGAGTACAAAAAGGTGTGATTCAGGAGCACCAGCGTTTACAACAGTTTAGATTTGAGGTCAAGTCCGAGATGAGTTCGTGGGTCACTAAACGCATTCTACGAATCCGATCCAGCCTAAAGACCAAGGCATCTGACAGCTTTCGTTAGATCATGGTTTGAATGTTTTAAACTATCTTTCAGAAACTACTTTTTTCCCCACCTCTTAAACTTCGTCTATACAACCAAGCTCAGGAACCCCAACGTGACGCCTTCTCACCAAAGTGAGAGGATGAAACGTCAACAAAAATGTCGGTGGACCATCAACAGTTGAACTTGACGAGTTGGCTAAAATCTCTGATTTCCAACTACGCAAGAAGAAACACACCGCACACATCTTTCTTGTTCTGGTACTGGTAATCTGTTTGATTTGGCATTAAGATGTATTGTGTACCTTGGACAGTTGACTGCGTCTCAAAGCTGCATGATTTTCTAAGCGGAACACCAGCACCGAATGGATTACAGGTTTCATACATCGCTCAGCTGCTTGGAGGAAAAGGAAAGCTAAAGATAGATAGACAGATGGAGATCGTCCTGAGGGAGTAATTGAGTGGTCTATCACATGATATTGTCCGACGATTTATAGCGAGTACGACTAGACGGGTAGCAGTGGTTAAAAAAGCCGTTTCATTCCGTCCGACAATAGATGAGAATAGCTTAAGTGGACCCGTAACATCACGCTATTTCAAACACGTAATTTGGATTGAGCTACAAATTTTACATAGGTGTGCTAAGAATAATTGGGCAGGTCTTCATTTCGTTATCCGAATAATGAATGTAGCGAGAACGTCCGAGTTATCGTCACATTGCATGAACACGGAACCACGTTGATCGACCTGACTGGGACACAGACTAGAAACGCAAGAATCCGACCTTACCGGAGTGATCTGTGGAACTGCAAAAAAACCGATGGAATAAGAACAAAAAATAATTAATGAGACATGAAAACATACCCGAGAAAATTCACCCGGATATCGATCGGCAAGCAACTTGGCCAAATCACGCAGACAAGCTAAACTCTGGCGAGAAAACGAGGAACTGAACAGTCCAGTTGTCGTTTTCCCCGTATCACCTGATTCCGTGATCGATTTTGTCCCGTCCGATTCGGATAATTTGTAGTGCGAAGCCAACTGGGCAGTGAACTGAACCAGACCAGCCTCCAGTACCAAATCCAACCCCGGTTTGGGCTGACGTTTCGGTAATTTTCCTCGGCACAATATCTTCTGACTGAGTGCGTTCGGATTCTTGCTGTCCAAAATGGGCATCGGAGGACAGTTCACCACCAAGCTTGTGAGTTTTGCAGCCAGCAGTTCGAGTGCTTTGCGTCGCAAACCCCGATCCACCGTATCGAACAGGTCGGAAATCATGCGAACAAAGATCGAACCGGTCACAGAATCGTGTATCTGATTGGGGGAATATGTGAGGGAGTGAGTGGTGGAGTAAAGACGCGAGAAATATGTATACGTGAACTGTAGACAACGGGACAGGAATATCGTGCAGTCATTTAGAAACAATGGATAAATCTGAAACCGCATGATTGGGAGAGGAATTGCACTCAGTTGAATGGCAATTCAATCCAAAGACGAGAGCAGTTAGGTTGTCAGCAGTTATTCGTTGGAATCTCACAAGCACTGTAAAAAAAGTGTCCCTACGGATGTAAGTGATCGGACTAAGCTGTGTTGACTATCCGAACTTTCACTGTCGGTGAGTAATGCTTCCTCATATTTTTCACATGAGAGAGGGAAAAAGCGAGACGGAATGAACGCAGCTGAGTACAACAGAACGATGGACAAGGAAGCACACAGAACATCAGCCAGACAGATGAACTACAATGACACAACTGGAGGTCGTGCATAAGCGCCTCCGAAATCCTCAGTATGGTCAGGGGTGGGTGTCTAGGGTTGCGGCACCTCACGAAATGCTCTCATACGACCAAGCGTCTCGAATAGCCTCTACTGAGGAAATGCTACTCACTGCTTTTCTCGTGGCGGAGGTGTTTTTGCATGAAAGTGAGAGGACGAAAAGCCGATATCCGGGGCTATAACCGGGTTGGCGAACCACTGGCAGTTCACCTAGGGGAGTTGGCCAAAAACCCTGATTTCAAACCAAACAAGAGGTGTACAAACCACAGCCACACCTATTCGGTTGTGGCAATGGTCACCGGCTCGATTGGACATCAGATGTATTGGGTACCTTGGACGTTTGACCCCATCCGAAAGGCGTATGATCCGATGAACTGGACACCAACTCCCAATGGATTGAGGTTTTCGCACACCACCCCGCTGCCTTTCAGGTCAGGCTTCGGCTAACCGAAGGCTCCGGATGTGGATTTCTCAATAAAATTCACCTGCCTTTGCATGGGCAACCTGGCCATATTTGGCAAGTGGGCCGAATACTGCCATAAGCGACGCTCTCGGCGAGATGGTATGCAGAGCGAACGCGCGCGAGCACACACTCGTACAAACCACGTGGATAAAAACATCGGACAGATGGAACAGCTTTGCACCAGAATAACAAAGGTCAAACATAGTTGATCATTTGTAAGGAATAGTAGTGCTGGGTGCAAGGCACCAAAGCCTTCTTGATCACCTCAGCCCTTAGGCGACTATCCCTTTCCTATGTATCCAATAGAGCAGAGCAAGATACAGTTTGTTAATATCCAAAAAAGCACAAAGTTTAATTACACCACGATCGTATTACCAATACCTGGGCCACGAAAATTGGTTACGCCGGCGACTAACGCGCTGGAGCATTGTGTATCATAGTGGAAAAGTAATTCCCCCTTATTAACACATTACAAATCAAATCGGGTCGTGTGGAAAACGATGACCTCGTAATTGGCAGAATAGATCATGAGGTTAAATCGAATCGGACACTCGCTTTACGAGTGAGCAGCTACAAGATCACTATGCACCACAGACGAGAAATGACAAAGTACACAGGGGTTACCAATAAAAAACTGCCCATCTGCAACAGTATTGCCAAAACAAAAAATCTCTTGTGCATAACATTGGGTTCTGAGTGTAAGAAATCTAGTCGAATGAGGAACAACATAAAGTCTATACGTGAAGTGAATGCTTTTATAATGAGAATGGGTGGGTGAGAATAGTCGGACAAGATCTTGTGTAAGAAAGTATTAGAAATTGGCGACAATTGTCTGCTTAGTATGAATACTGCTTCAATCTGACTGAAAAAAGTCTCCGCTATTGGGAAGGTGTCTTGTGTGAACCTCCCATGAACGTGTATGAGGTTCATGGAATCGGCTAGTCCTATTCAGGGATCCAGTCGGAATAGAGTTGAAAAGCGCACTAAAAGGCGAATCAAGTGCAAACATGCATTTCGAATTAAATTCTTCGACAGGGAACCATCTTCGTTCACACGAGCCGGAGTTAGTTAGAGAAAAAACAAAGCTTTATGCAAACGCAGCTTCAACCGCGTTGGTCAGTAGTTTTCTCGGCACTGGATATATTCATCTATGAACATTTCTTCAGAATCCAAGAAAAAACCGTAAAACAGAAACTAACCTGGATTAGAACCTTCTGTAGACCAGAAAGAGTCTCTTTAGCACCGTCAGCTAGTATCGAGGTTGAATCCTCAGGAGTGGAGGTGGCTTTCGATGCGCTGGACTTCTGTTTTGTTAAAGTGGCAGCCGCGCCGATCATAAGTTGAACCGATTGTTCCACCAATCGACCGTAAACAGCACCCAAACCGAGTGGGTCACTGGCTGCCTGTTGGATTTTATCCATGTACACAGGATCGGCGAGTAGAGTGGTCAGCAATTGGACTGCACGACCGGTCAAAGCCCATGTGCTGGCCGAAGTTAGAGTTGGTCCAGAGGAATTCGAAACCAAATCGGGCTCCAGGCCAGAGTGAAAGAGAATCGAAAGCAAGGATTGGGTGATGTGCGGTGAGTTGAAATTGGCCGGGCAGATCAGCTCAGGTAACTCTTTAACATCTGGTTCTGCAATGTCGCCGGATGATTTCGAATTGGATGTTGTGCGTCTTCGTTTGATTGGGGGAGCAATCTCAGTATCGACCAATTCCGGTTTTTTGTTTGGAGTTCCAGTGTGCTGATCAATTAAAAAAATAGTAGTATATTGACAACGGGATCGAATGAAATGATGCCTATTTTTGAGATACGTTATGGTGACGCGAAACGAATTTGAAAAAAAACCGACGCTGATTTTCTGTCACCGAAGAATTTCGTAGTGTTATTTTTCCCAAAATACTATACAGCTTTATCAACATCCCACTACACGAGACCATGTCGGTTTTAGGTGTATCCGTAACTGGAAAATACCGAATTACTTACACATCTTTTCGATCGAATAGATTGTTCACTTTCTGCTACGATGGAATTGCCCGCGTTTTTGTACAACCAGGACAGGAATGCGAGACACTCGTACCAGGCAGAGACCTGCGTATCCCAAGTGAACTGTCCATGTAGATTGATCAAAAGCGGTACGACGTCATTTGCTGGAACGAACAACCAGGCAGGCTTCAGTTCATAGTAGGACCACAAAAAAGGTTGGCAATTTTGTAAAAAGCGGTAAAGGTACTCGCGACAAACATGTTAACGCTGAGTGCAACCCGGTTGCAATGAAAAAAACGTGTACTCAACAAACGCCATTAAATGCTATGACTGAGTATTGGTATTAGCCAATCAGGAAAGGAGTTTAATTTGACCGACAACTTCGGAAGAATGAAAAAAATGAATGATAAAAGCGGATGGCGCACGGTCAAAATTTACCGGCGGATTCGTCCGTCCAATTGCGATTCAAAAACACCAACGACATCGTCCAAAGCCAACTGGCAACCCAGTTCTCTTGCCACCGGGAAAACAGCTCGCGTTGTCTTTGACGTTCGGCTTTCTTCGCTTTCGGATCGGCTTTGCCAGTTGAACGTGACTGCCCTAGGGATGCATAGTCTAACGCCAGTGGCCCGGTAACTTGGGCCAGGCCACGGACAAGTCCGGTGTAGAAAGCCAGGCGACGCCGAGGCAAACGGTTGGCCAAATTGGGCATTCCATCAACGAACAGGAGTAACACTTGCAAGCCGGCTTTTGTCTGATCCGTGGACGATCGGATCAGAGCGGGCACAGCAACCACGACCAGTCGACCGAGAAGAGCCAGTGTGTGCACGTTGTCCAGACGCATGAATTGCTTGTTATTGGCAGTCCATTGTACGAGGTTGATCAGGCGCTGTGACAACACAACCTAAAACGAGGGTCAAATTGGAAAAAAGACAGGATTTCATTACAATTGACAGGGGCGGGTCAATATCCGGTCTACTTGAGAACGTGGATGAATGAACAATAGGAGGAAAACAAGAAGGTTGAAAGTAGGATTGAAAAGTTCAGTGGACTAAGGTGTATTATAAAACAAAACTCCACACGGAACTACAAGCAACAATTAAGTGGTAACAGATTGATAAGAAACCCAGGAGAGTCTACACGAGATAGGGAAACCACAAACACTTCGGCGCTCTGGTCGCTCAGTGTTTAGACCGCTGTGTGTGTGTGTCTGTCTCTCTGTTTGGCTCAGATCAGTGAGCAGGATGAGAAACAAGTAAAAGGTTCAGTGAAGTAGAACTGCAGAGAAATGAAACAATTATTTGTTGAAGGAAGGTGACTAAAGGCAAGGGCATAGCTGTCTAGACCGCGCGATCACATTGTTCGATATATTCAGCCACCGATTAGGATGATTCAGTTGGAACCGGGGGTGGTTTTATCGCCCTGCCAATTTTCCACTTGAATGTCTCCGACGTGTGAGTTCGATTATTCGGTGCTTGTTGAAAAACCTGACGAACTTTTGGATTTGCTCTATCCCCAACAGTATATTCAGGTGGTTATAAAATCTATGATAATAAAAATCACGGGGTCGGTCGTAATGCGGCAATTTAATACTCATAAGATGGAGATTTGATATCGTTTTCCCATTTGTGAAAGTTTACGAACATCAAGAATTGTGATCTGATGGTCCCGGGCCTCGCACCGATTATACTATCACACATACGAAATACTATGTTGAATATAACTCGATTTCAGTTTTCACCATGATCTCACTTGGTCTGATAATGTCACATAAATGATAGGATAAAGAAACTTGTTTTCAGCCTTGTTTCGCCTCAACGGCAGCTCGGTTTTCGCATTTGTTTTTTTTAATCACACTTTCGTGTGACGAATTGCAGAGGGGTTAAACCACATAGTCGCGAGAACCTGCTGTTCAGTATTCATTATGAACTTAAAACTTATTACTAGATCTGTATAAATATTTAAAATGAGCCATCATTTTCCAAACAAAAGCGTGGGAAAAAATGGCTAGTCAGCCTGAACTATCCTCCAGACTGGTTCTGTGCAACTCTTCTCTGCTGCGATTAAATAAAACCATCATCTTACTTTGCTATGGCCGGTTTTCTCCCTCCCCGTTTATGTCTTGATGAAGAAATTTCGTTGAATATGAAACAAATTGGACTTATGTTCACATCGAAGCGCTTCCACAGATTTACGCGTCTCTCGGCTTTAATTATACACCAAAACGTTTTGAAAGTTTCATCTGGTTTGGGCATGGTGACACTACAGGACGCTTATTCAACGAGCCGCACACCTCAAGGTCAACTTTTGAAGATCAACTTGTGTTTCTTGGACTATGTTTTCAGTTCTTCCAGCATTGGAGATAATGTGTAAGTAGTTTATAGCCTAATAACTTATCAATTTATTTAAGCTAGAATATTTTCAATAATTTGCTTTATTTACTGTGCACTGAATGAAGAGAATAAAAATTTAGAATACGTAAGCTCAAGTTAATAGAAACTCTCATGGGACAGGAATCATCTACTAAAAAGAATGAATTCCCACGCTGCTTTGCCCGAAATATTTTATAAATCGGAGCTGTAACTTTCGAACTACGGCAAATTTTATAGCGACACTCAAGGTCGCGCACATTCAAATGGTGACAGAAATGAATTGAGAACATAGATGTTGGAGATAAAGTCAGGAATACACTTTACTCAGCTATCTATATATAACTATGATATTGCAAGCTGAAATGGATTTTCAAAATGAGGGTGATGTTGCACGAGTTTGGTCAACACCTGTATATTCACAGATAAATCACAAACTTTCTTCAGCAGAAAGTTAGATGACACGCAGATGTCAACATTTGTAAACATTGACACAGATCTCGAGAAAGCTGAAGAGTTAATAACTAACAGAATGTCCAATTCCAGATGATATCGTTTTGTTAACCCCAATCTCACGTACGAGCCAGATCCACAAGGGATAAACGTACCGGGCACAAATTGGTCAACTCGATGATACACAATAGCACTTGCTGATGCAAAGCATGCCAATCGGGAAACACCGTGAGACAATGGAACACCGGATTCACCGTAGCCAGCAGTAAGGAGGCCAACATTCCCGATTCGCCGGCACCCGTCTGTACCCCGGGGCTAGTGATTGAGAAACCTGGAGACAGTCGAGTCGCACGACGTTTGGCACGCGGTCTGTGTCGATTGGCTTCCGCAAGGATTGCGGTCAAACAGACCAATATCCGATAACAGCACTGACGTAAGAGGGTACGTGGACATTCCGACTGACTCGATCTAGTCAGATCAGCGTCAGCGTCCAAATCAGCTGATATTGTTGTGGACAATGACAGTATCGGTTGATCGCTGGGACCTGTTTCATTATCAGATTCGGAGTCAGAGGAACCTGACGACGCGTCCTCGGTCGGGTGTTCAGTGCGTTCCGTTTGGGCTGACTGTTGCTCAAAACTCAAAATCCTGTGGACGATTGGAGAACGAGAAAACAAATAGATTCAAGCAAAGAAAGGACGGACGGACAGACAGACAGACCAGTGTGGAACCTACCCGATCAAATGATTAATGAGGGGCGTGATAAGATCACACAGCGGAGAGATTGGAATCGCTTTGTTCGGAGTGTTTTGCGACAGAGTAGTGACCGCGTCAGTTTTCTCAGTTTCGATGGATTTCGAGTTTGCACAGCTGTCACGTAAACGTCCCACAGACTCAGTGAGAACGGAGAGCAACGTGCTCAACAGTCTTAATCGCATTCTGTTCGTCTGCACCGTGCTCTGCTCCGCTGTTGGCATGTGAGTATCCAGGCTGTTTGTGATGGACT